TTTATATTTTTAAATAAAAAACAATAAAATCCATATAATTATATGCACGAAAGAATACAGCCCCATTTGAAAGTGCATGTTGGTTAAACTGATTGGGAAATTGATTTTCTTTTTTTTAGAAAACTTTCGTATTTCCTAATTCCTACCCTTTTGCTTGTGTAGGCCATTCTAAAACCTGTTTGGTACGTCCTGTCCTCCCTCTATTCAGGTGTAGTCAAGATCAGGTGTTAATATGTTTTGTATATTCACCACACATATATCTCATGATACACAAGGTGAATCCAATGGACACTTTCCGCTTTGTGATTAGCTAGCTCAACAGTAACATAAAACTGGTAGCTGGAGTGTCATGAGATCCATATAAGGAGGGACAACTGACGAAGCTCAACACTGATAGTTGAGAGTGTCTTTTGGTCTATAGTTAGAAGGGTTAAAGGAGAGCTTTCTAGTTGTAATAACTAAAATATATCAAAATGCAGAAAGCTTGGTTCTATGAGGAGTATGGTTCCAAGGAAGTCCTCCAGTTTGGAAACCTCCCAATTCCCACTCCTCAACATAACCAACTACTCGTTCAAGTTTGTGCTGCTGCTCTGAACCCTATAGATGTCAAGCGGCGCCAGCGTCCCATCTTTCCTTCAGACTTTCCTGTAAGTAGACACAAAACACGTATTTTTGTGTCAAACTAAAAAAACAACAACAATAATACATGTACATTTTGCGGAATTAATATGGCTGGTGGTAAGTAGGGGTGCATTGTTTTTCAAGTTTTGTATTGTGCTGAACCTATCTTGCTCATTTGGTCAAGTTTTGCATTGACTAGAGATGATAACATACATGTATGGTTGCTTTGCAGGTGGTACCTGGATGTGACATGGCAGGTGTAGTGGTGGCAAAAGGAAGTGGCATCACAAAATTTAACGTGGGCGACGAAGTTTATGGCAACATCCAAGACTTTAATGCTGAGGGAAAACTGAAGCAGCTTGGGACACTAGCAGAATTTATAGTTGTGGAGGAGAATTTGGCTGCGAGAAAACCCAAAAACCTTTCCTTTGAGGAAGCTGCCAGCTTGCCTCTGGCACTTCAGACTGCAATTGAAGGTTTTACCACTGCAGGTTTCAAAGAGGGACAAAGCATTTTCATAGTTGGTGGAGCAGGTGGTGTTGGTACTTTAGTTGTTCAGCTAGCCAAGCTCGTTTATGGAGCTTCTTATGTTGTGGCTACAACTAGCACCCCAAAAGTAGATTTTGTCAAAAGCTTGGGAGCTGATAGAGTTGTTGACTACAGAAAGGTTAAATATGAAGAAATTGAAGAGCGATTCGATTTTCTCTATGATACAATTGGTAAGAACTTCAAATGTATTCTGAAGAGTCAAGGAACTGCGTACTAATTTTGAGAATTTCATTTCAGGTGATTGCAAGAATTCTTTTGTTGTGGCTAAGGATGATGCACCAATAGTTGACATAACGTGGCCTATATCTCATCCAAGAGCAATGTATTCAAGCTTGACAGTTACAGGAGATAACCTAGAGAAGCTGAGGTCATATTTAGAGACTGGAAAGCTAAAAGCGGTGATTGATCCTAGTGGCCCTTATGATTTCAAAGACGTGATCGAGGCTTTCCGGCATCTAGAAACCGGAAGAGCCCTAGGAAAAGTCGTTATCTCGACCTTCCCTTCTTCGTATCTCCCAATCCCATTACCTGTTCCATTTGAGGATAAGAATGACCTTTGTCCCTGACATTTTCCCATCCGGT